CACACACACACACACACACTCTCTCTCTCACACACACACACACTCACACACACACACACACAGTAATGGGAGTCCTGCAGATGCCCACGGTTCTGCTCTCTCTCTCCTCTGGGTAATTACACTCTCTGGCTGGGGTCTGGAGGAGGACGAGGGAGGAAGAGGAGGCTGTACAAATACAATAACTGAGCATTTATGTGCACGCAAGTATGATTTTGCAGAAGTATATGTTTAGGGGAAAATTATAGAATGTATTATTTACAAAAACATAGACAGTAAGCATTTTTTATAATATTAAAATAATATTTTATAAAACAATTTTGTAAACAGAATGTCTGTACTAAGCGCATACTGTAAACTCGAAAGAAATATGCTGGTTTACTAATTTATTTGGTGTAACATGGACATTTCTCAGTTCACGCCATATAGGCAAATTACCCAATCAAACCATGGAACATGAATATAAACTAGGCTATGCAAGTCGACAAAAATAAATAAATAAAAATTAAAGTATATTAATTAGTGATTATATATTGGTCAATTTTGTGTTTTTAAATTATAAATTGATAAATTATATAAATGCTATATATATATATATATATATATACAGGTGTATTTGAAAAAATTAGGATATTCAAATTTTCTCTTGATGCACTGACTCCAGCTTCAGTCCACTCCTTGTGAAGCTCTCACAAGTGTTTGAATCGGTATTCTCAAGCTTGCGGTTATTCCTGTTGCTTGTGCACCTTTTCCTACCCATTTTCTTCCTTCCAGTCAACTTTGCATTTAATATGCTTTGATACAGCACTCTGTGAACAGCCAGCCCTTTCAGTAAAGACCTTCTGTGACTTACCCTCTTTGTTGAGGGTGTCAATGATTGTCTTCTGGACCATTGCCAAGTCAGCAGTCTTCCCCATTATTGTGGTTTCAAAGAACAAGAGATACCCAGAATTTATTCTGTAGTACTGGTCATTTAATGAAACTCAAATTTAAATATTCTAATATTTTGAGATACTGGATTTTTGACTTGACATGAGCTGTAAGCTCTAATCATCAAAATTAAAACAAAATTTTTTTTGAAATGTTTTACTTTACATGTAATGAATCTAGAATATATGAAAGTTTCATTTTTTGAAATGTTACAACAACAAAAAACCCGATATTTTCACGATATTCTAATTTTTTGAGATGCACCTGTATATGTATGTGACCCTGGACCACACAACCAGTCATAAGAGTAAATAATCTGAGAGTTGAATAAATAATCTATATATATATGGTTTAGATGCTGATTTTTACTGCATTATTTCATTTGATCCATATAGCTTCATTGTCAGGGTTGGGCAAAGATACATCGAAATGTATTTTAAAATATAATACCAAATACCTTAATTTTAAGTGTATCAAAATAAACTACAAAATACAGTAGCCACACCAAGTATCAAATAAACTACTGTATTTTTGTATTTGAAAAATACAAAAAAATACTTCTACAAGGGAGCATTATTTTTTCCCGCAAACCTTCCATCAATTGGTCTATTTGATCGATCCCTTCACCATTACACTGACTCAGTTGATTAAGTAAACATATATACTTAACATATAAACATAAACATATATCAGACTATATGTCTGATAGCAACAGCTTTTCATACAATAAATATGACATATGCAACCAGTTAACATATCAAATATTCACATATCCCTGTGATCTCCCAGATGAAGGTTAGTTTTAAAGTGACCAACAGTTTAATGTTTAACAGTTTGTGAATGACTCATAATGGAATCCTAATTTAGTTACTTGGTGTTTGTTAACAAAGGGCCTACTTTGCATCAGCAACACTGACTCAATGACAAACAAGTCATTCATAAGAAGACAACTGATGGCACCTGAATTCATAGCAACTAGTTTCTAACTAATTAATCATTTGATTGTTAATCATAAATATAATAATTTACTATGTGTCAGGCAGTCATTCATGCAATGATATGCAAAATCATGATCCTACTAAACAGCAATCAAATATTTATTTATCAATCATTTGACACCTATTTGGAAGTTAAAAACAAACATTTTAGCATTACAACAATTATTAAATTATCAATATGTTTTGATTTTAAATGTAGCCAGAAACGTAATCAGAAAGTAGCAACAGAACTTGTCAAGGAGTATTAACCCAACTCCAACCACTGAATCTATTGAGAGCCATAGAAGTATAAAGGACATATATACACTTATAATAAGTGCAATTGCACCAAGCACATCACATTCTATTACTCATTCATCCAGGCTTCCTTTTGAATGAATAAATGAATAATTCCTGCCCACTAAAAGCTGCAAGGATATATTTGCTTACCCCGAAAGGCCTGTCTATGTAAACAATTTAGAAAAAGTTCAGTCGATTCACACTTTATATCATTGCCACAATATGTATCGTCATATCACCCAGTGAGATACGGGAACGAGTACTGCGTCGCTAGACGCTACGGGAAACCCCTTTTCTCCGATTTACTGAAGTCTTTTTTTCAATCAATGCATCTGCACTGCCATTGTTTCAGAAATGAACCAATGATGGCGCAGCAGAGCTGCGCGAGCCTATGGCGAAGCAGCGCACCCGAGCCCGCCAAAATGGGCGGGGCATCTGGCTATATAAGCAGGTGCTCGGCATAGGATCACTGATTCATATTGACTGAAGCGACAACAGAGTCGTGCAGCATCATAGCACGGCTAGCTACGCAGTACTCGTTCCCGTATCTCAGGGAACCGAGGTTACGTTAGTAACCGAGTACGTTCCTTTTCGATACTTCACTTCATACTGCGTCGCTAGACGCTACGGGAACCTATTCAATCACACCGTGCTATGGTAGATGAACGACTTATAAGTAATTGTCCAGGGCGTCCAGAAGGGGGCCCTGTAGATCAACCACAATGAAGCAGGCCATAGCCAGAGACCCGGATTCTTTTCGGGGTCAAGAGGAGGCAAAGAAATGGGCTAACTCATAGAGGTCGAGCCCGGCCTTACATAATCGTTCTTAGAGCTTCGCACAGCCTCGGAACTAGATAGGGCCGAGAGCGTGCCGGAAGCTAAGCCCAGACGTGGGAACTTCAGCGGGTTCGAAACATAGTCAAACCCAGCAAGGATTAAATCCAGCCTTAGGGCGGGGATATGGTTCCTGGAGCGTTTTGAGCTCAGAGAGACAGTTAAGCAGAAAGGACC